GAAAAATGAAGTGCTCCATAACGCGTAATAAGCTTGCCTTACGGTACTTTGAAGCGCTTTCGTCGAAATATTAAATCTCTGATGACACGATTATTCGCAGAGCATAATAAATCCGCGCAAAATCTCGCTCTCGCAATCAGTTCGAACATATACAGTACCCTCCACAAGTTTGGAAACACTTTACATTTTACAGTTAAACAATCGCATGGCAGCGATCTGTGCGGATTTTTGTATGAATATATCGTAAGCTATTTTAATGACAATATAAAAAAGGTCATTTAAATATATTACGATATATTCATACGAAAAATCTGCACAGATCGCTGCCATGCGATTGTTTAACTGTCAAATGTTTTTAAACTTATAGAGGGTATTTATATATGCAAGCGTTGCGTTTTAATTGTCGTTCTTTGCGAGATTGTACAAAATCTCCGCGTAGTTTGCGGCGTATTGGTGAAATCAAGTAAAAACGATATGGCACGATACTCTGATCGGACTACTAATAATTCACTAATGCAAAAATTGCTCCATAAACACCCCATCTCCGGATAATGTCTACATCGGCGCTAATCTCACACGCGCCGCCTAGACGCGCTGCATCGAAAGCGATTGCAATAAAAAGAAACCGTGTATAATATGTAATAGGCCTATCTCCGTAATAACTCGGCAGTTACTTCGGCCACGGTAGATCTTGCCGATAATTTCGAAGACAAAGCGCCACATATATGCGCCATATTACAGTTGACCGGTGTATACCTATGTGTCCATCTTGCATTAGGAAGAGCGAGAAGATTCGCGCAAACATGACACTATACCCCTGACAAGAAAATATTAACATCTAGAATGATCCTTTCGTAATGTCATACTCTAATACATATAGCTAAGCTCCGCCATTATATGTTACGGAAACGACATAATTAACGTCGCTATATGCTCGCTAAGAAATTATTATTGGAATTTAATAGAGCAAGAGAGTGTGTGTGTGTGTGTGTTTGTTTGTGTGTGCGCGCTCATGCACACCCGGAAATAAATTAACGTCGTCGTCGATCTGATTCGTTGAAAGACACGTCCGACAAGATGTTATAAAGTAGAAAACGCGGAATATTTACAATGAATAAAAAAGTAAGAGTAATAACAAGTACGAAGAAACATGAGACTAATACGATAGACATTGATTGATTAAATATGAAATATAATGTTAGAAGTAATATTAAAAAATTACAATTTTAAATCGATTTTCTTATTTTTAAATTTCTCGTTTTATTAAACGTTTACAAACGAGAAATTTTATAGAATTGATAAGCATTTCATACAATTTAATCAACTACTATTGACATCAGTTTTTCTTTAAGCACGTTTAATATAAATTGCTGCGCGAGTAAATTGAATATAATATTATTTTATCGATGTTTTTTTTCTCCTAGTTTCAATTTTTACAGATTTTTCTCTGCTTCATTTTATCGATATTTGATTTACATACCAAAATTTAATGTGTTAAACGTATATGTATTTATTACTTGCTGTACTCTAGTCGTTAGGCAAATAGAGGTCTATAGAATGTCAACAAATGCTCTTTTATTTATCTCTCTCTTCTCCTTTACCTTCGATTGCCTCGGAAAGGCTAAACACCATCAGATCATCGTGTGCTACGGAACAATGCAGTCAGTAATACGGCATCGATCGAGCATTTTTACCCTGAAACATTTGTAGTAATTAAATTAATTCCGCCGGGACTCTCGTCTAGTCTCTGGTGGATGATTGCTCAACGAATGATAGATGAACGTTATATTCTCATTACGGGTCGCTACTGTGAGAACACACGTAATACATAGGTAAGAGCACGCCCGTCTATATTACGCTTATATGCGCTTATTTAGACATACAGGGATACATATATGTAACTTACATACGTCCCTCGCGGTGTGCGGACTGGAATCATTAAGAACTGTTTACTCGCTCTTTCATTAGTCATCGGCGATTTAATGCGTCGTTTGATTTTATTTCATCAACGGACTGCCGATCATCTTTTTCTATATCGCTTTCTTTTTTTCGGCGCGCGCTATCTTATGCAATTTATTGACTCTTCGCTTTGCGCTTCCGTACCTATACAACAGATTATACTAGGCTCGTTGAAATTTATTAGTTTATAATTATTTATCGCTTGAATATGTACAATTTATGTGACGGATGATTGTCGCGTGTGTTAGATTTTTATTTTGTGTTAGATAATTATTTAAATTATTATCGCATCATAAAGAGGTAGACTGGGGACTCGCTTTTTACTCACGTGACGCGCATATATTCGTTTCTTGCAACTTTTATTGGTCGGACCGAAAAATACATTCGTCTTGTTTGTCGTCTCGCTCATCTCACGACTCATGAATAACAAGCGCACGTACTGCGATTTCCAGAAACCAGAACTCGGCGTGTTAAGCGTGTTTCGCGTGCCGAGTGCCTTTACTTTCGGAATCGACGCGATTTCGCGGTATGTCATAAGAAGCGGCAGGCGTGTCTCGTTTTCGCTGTCGGCGTATTTTATTTACAACATCACTTACGCGATACATTATTAACCATTTGCTGTCAACGTTTCGAAATATGACTGTATCTAAATGCAAGCGAAAATTATTCAAGAAAATTTAATTGCTTAATAAGTTGTACGAAGCAACTCGATAAGCATATGCGGAAATTTATCATAAATTATTAAAAAATATATGAGTATAAATGTATCTGAATCCATAAGTTTTATATCATTAAATATCTTGATGCAATTAAACTTTAAATTAAAACTATATTAGACAAAAATATTTTACTTTGTGAAATTTAAGATTTATTTACAGTTTTATATATCCGTAAAAAATTGTAAAAATATCAGAAATGAAAAATGATGAATTATATGTGATGCCGAGGTAACGGAAATAGTAATTTAGATTTTACTTTTATAATACACGCGTTTGCGTAAGGATGAATTGTAAAGCCTTTTATTCATCGGACGTTACTTTGCTGAATGTTGCAGTTTTATTATGATTTGTATAGCCCCTGCTTTTTCTCTTTCTCTTTAAAAGCGGTAAAACTCCGTTATAATAAATTATTGCGAGAAGCGTAATATGCGCACGGATGTGTTACGTGTAATTTGTTAATCGCGCTATGGTGTTACAGTTACACTCACCGCCGGTGTAAACCGTCGGTCGTTCGAAGAGTTGCGCTATTAGCGTTTTGTATCGTGTTTCACGACACGAACCATTTGTTTGATCCTATGACGGCGCGGACAAGAGGCGAGCTTTTCATTGTCGATGTGCACAGGAGAGTGTATTCCCACGTTTCGTCGAGAGCTTGTTGTCAGGGAAACAATCGCTCTATACTGTAAATTTGATCTACCGCACGATTGTTTCGGAAATTCGATATTGACGCGAGAAGGCGCGATCGATCATTGCTCGTTAGAAAATGACCCTCTTTTGATACAACTAGAAGAATCATTTCCTCTCTTTGTCGCATTGTATTACACTGCGATTATTTAATTGCTGTTAGCAGCAGCATGTGGGAACAATGTTTGTATAATATCTGTTTTATTTTTTTAAATAAAATATGTTTTGTATTAACGATTTTATATTATTTTTTTTTAATTTCTACTTTTTTTACATCATAATAAAAGTTTAAAAATTTTATTTGTGTATTTTTTCTTTTAGTTTATTTTACATGCATAATTTTTATTTAGAGTCTTAAGAATTCTTAAAAATACACACTAATATAATATATATTATTATTTATTATATTAATATAACATCATACTAATAGGTATGACTAATAAAAAATATTTAAAATGAGAAGTATATTCTGCTATCGTGCAATCGTCTTGCTTTCAATATCGGTGATGCTTCAATTGGATCGTAAACTGTGAGAATTGGTTCCTTCCCGTGATTGACTATTAATTCAGTCGGTCATTAGACGATCGGAGGTGTGTCACAGAGAAATTAGACGGCGCAAGGTATACAAGCGACCGACAGGCCGAGGCCAGTCGAATCTCTCGTGGGAACTGGTTGTGATTAGTCTACGTCACTACCGACGCTAGTTATGCTAATTGCGCTTAAGCACTTTGGCCTGCTATCAGCATCGACTATTGAAACTGCCGCTGAGTAAGTCACGTACTAAGACCAGACCTTTGTCCGTCGATTTCGCCTGTCGATATTCGCGCGGCGTATAGCATTCGGGAAAAATTACAATACGGCATCTCGGTACCGCATTAACTCTCGACGATCTCGGATATGACAATCGGCGATGCTGCGTGGGTGAAATTATACTCGCGCAGCTTCTAAGTCTCCTCAAATCGAAATCCCACAGCTGGGATCAAAATAATATCTGCAAAATTGCCACGTTGCAACGGTGCATTACACTAATATTCATTTACACGCCAACACATCACAATACTTCGAAATACGTATGAATTAACTTTGAACGATTTAATATAAAGAGAGTCTTGCTCAGATTACTTTTCGTACCTTTCTTCAATATATCTGTAAGTTAGAGAGGAGCGGGAACACCTACGCCAACGAATCGTCGACTCTCTAAAGCACACACAATCATCTTAAAATACACATCTTATATTAGACGTAATAATTTGTTGTAAGAAAATTGAGAAAGGTCTTTGTGATGTTATATACGAAATTACCGCAAAATATTTTTACATTGTTCAAGCGTCAAGAATCTTTTCTTCCAACAAAATATTTATATTATCCTTTATTACAGTAATTTATATAGCTTATTATATTCATATGCAAGTCTGTTGAATTATAAAGTGCACAGTTGAGAGAGTAGGTCAGGAAAAAAACACAATATATTACATTCGCACAATTAACAATTAAATATGTGTTTACCCATTTTGCATTTAATTTTAAAGTCAATAAAACTGCGGTTCGCAAAAATTTCTCATATATAAATACCTGTGAAGCTGGCAGAGAGCATTCGTTTCTTTTGTGTATTGACGAGCACGTTCTCTTCTGTTACAGGCGGCGGGACCGCCGGTGCAGGTGGAACCAGTGGACCTGTCCGTGAAAACTCCCGTGGTGTTGCAGGTGCCGCGGTACAGTCCGGCAGCGATAATTAACGCCGCCGCAAGAAGAGTGCCGTCACCTTCAACGACGCCCACGCCACCGCCGCTGCCGCCACTCTGCGCATCTACCGGTAAGCACCTAGACTTTATATCACTACGAAAATTTATGTTAGACTTCCTTGCCGTGTATACATATATACATGTATACGGATGGAATTTAAATCGAATCTTGCGACAGTGACACGATCACGGTGCATTATTGCCCTCGGCGATGTACAGCTCGAAAGAATGCATTTGCACTTGTTCACGGACTCTTTGCAGTCACTACGTTCATGGCTGCGTTCGTGATTGCGGTTTCCGCAATTTGATTTTTTTACGGTACTTTTTTCTGCATATTGAAGTCGAGGAAACTCTCACTTTGTGACTAATTTTGTGAGAATTAAGAATAAGAAAGAAAGAAACTTCGATTTATAGCGAGGATAATTAAAATCCATTTGGTTAATTTTTTATTTCTTCTGATGAATGTCCAATCGATTAATTTATAAACCCGAAGACATCTACCTGACGTTCGAGAGACGTGTTTAAAATTCCACGGACTTCGTAAGGTAGTGAAATTCTATATTATGAACTGCACGTACGAAACTACTTACTGGTTGTCACTTTGGTCGACTGTATATATCCGTGTATGTACAACTTTAAGTCGTATTTATACAACGGAAAATTTAAAAATTTTTATTCAACATAAATCGCCAAATGTATTGAACGATCGAGCTTGTATTTAGTCGCCTTATCAAAAGTGAATCGTATAATGCAATTTAATTTCATCGATTTGACATTTGCAAACTTTTTTTTTGTTCTATTTAAAATTAATCTATAAATTTCCATTTATGTGCAATGCAACATAGATATGATGATTTTTGAGAGTATTAAAATTGAATGAAATTGGGTAAAAATTCAGACACGGGTGAGATTCGTTTTTCTCGCGTTTCGAAGCTGTCGGCAAAAGCGAATCGTGTAATTTCGCCTTTACGCAGCCGCATACATACAGGTGCGGCGCAGCAGCATGCATACAGGTGCAGATGCAGCACGCGCAGAAAACACTGCGCTGCACGAAGCTGTGTGGCCTCGACTCTCGCTTATGGATAAACTATAGAGATCCCCGGCGATTGCGTTGCTTTATGGGTTAATTATGTTGGATTTTTTCTGCATACCGCGCGCGGACGAGCCCACTGGTCGATTGACCATTCTATGGAAAATCCATGCGTGCAATAGGCAACTCGTATGTCGCGTATATACGTCCGTGTGTGCAAACGTTTAAGCGAATGACCTATGGAACCGTCGTTAAATTCCTCGTCGTTACTACCGCGCGAGGTGGTATTCGCGAATACCTGTGAATAAATTACGAATTTGTCCTGGATATGTGTGAGCATTCAACAATCAGTCGCAAATTTCTCTTTCATTATTATATTTCAATTTAATGGATACTGAATATTGTTTTATTGAAATCGTTTTGACACATTTATTTATTCTCCAATTATTTTTTACATAAATTTTGCCCCCATAGGGATTTAACTTGAAGTTTATATATAACGAATAAAATATTTGATAAAAATTAAAGATCAAGAGGGATATCTTTTTAACCAAATAGTGATTTAAAACCTGACAAAGTATCTGAAAGAAAAATAATTACAAGATATTCTAAATATAAACTTTTTCGGGGAATCACCCTGATTTGCACGCCGTAATTACGAAATAATAATCCGAAACGCGTCGTAGACAGATGTTCGATCTGCCTTGAGGTCTCAAGGTCGATGCGTTCATCGCCGATTCGCCGGCGATTAAAGGAACAAGACTGAGAGAAATCTGGTCTCGTTAGGCGCCGCGGGCGGAGTTGCAGCGCGAATATAGCGTGAAGAAAAAAAGCCGAAAGAAGCCCGTTGAAATCATCTTAAAACGCCGTAATCGCCTCGATAAAGAGAGGCGAGCCGCAAAAAAGTCGCTTTAGCGCGCGCGTCTTAGCTCGCTTATAATTCAAACCGCAAAATCGCTCGCGCAGGTAGTCGTAAGCGCCACGCCTCTGTTTTATCGCGCCTCGAGAAAAAAGAAGGAAAAAAAAAATAGAAAAAGGAGGCTCAGTCGAGAGACGGCGAAACGGGAAAGAAATCGCGGCGCCGCGACTAGCGCGAGGGGACTCGTAACGTTCACTTCCATTTCTGGATTAATGATCACGCACACCTGCGCAAAGCGGAATCCGAATACGATTGGGGTCGCAACCCGTAGTCCTCGCCTGCGGGCTTTCGTCGTCGTGATCGTTGGTCGTAGGAATAACCGGTAGCGAATACGTAGGATTACTTTTATCGCGCGTTTAATATGTATATACATACATATATATTGTATATATACGCACCTGACTCTCTCTTTCTATCACTGTCGTGATCGATACCTTCTTCAATCTCTCCGGCGCAAAATCGTCCTCTTGGATTTCGTGATTTACCGCTGTTGGAAAGCATGGTCGGTCGTTTTACCAGTCGCTGCGTTAATCCTCTTTCGCACCTAATGGGTGCGTCTATAAAGAAAATAAACTCTGACAAATGTTTTATAAAGCGTGCGTTAAGTCACGAGTAGAATCGCGAATTACGTAAACTTGATTGCTACTTATTAAAATTAAAAAATAACCGACGCGAGAGCATTCATATATATACGGGATATATCTGCGAGGCTCGATACTCTCTCAGACATTAATAACAGGCGCAGGAAACGAGATTGTGCAGTTCTACGTTCCCAGCATGCTAATCTATGGAATGCTTTTCGTTCGAGATACACGCTTTCTTTTTTAGCTATAACTCTTTTTCGACATATAAAACATCGACAATTATTAATGACACATTCTGTCAGAAATTTTACATATATGCTACAGAACTGAAGGTAGTAGGTCGTATCATCTTTTTATATATGAAAAATATTCGATATAGCGAAAAATTTGACACATAACATCCCATGTCACGTCGGGTTAAACCGACCTTTATTTGACCAGATCCGGAATTTATTACCGCGTCATGCGTAAAAATGGCGGCACGTGACATTCCCGGGCAAAGACGGAAACGACGATTCTCGGGTGATATCGTTCAAGGAGACGCGGTCCGGGAGTAGTCCGTGGTCGATGTTATACATCCTTCGGTTCCCCGACATCGACATTCTATTGTTTTGCATCAAAAGCATCCTCCGTCGTGCGGCGGTGATCGCCCGCAGCGATATATAACGCCGAACGGATATTAAAGATCGCTGCCTGGCTTTTTCCTTGATTCTCGCGTCCGCGATCGTAACTCGCCTTTCGAGCATGGCTATCGGAAAATTCCGATCGTGCGTGGACACCATATACGCACCGCAGACACAGTCTTGGTCGCATGTACCGTCGCTGGTGCTAAACCCGATCGTGTTCGACACCGCATTTCGCGAGTCCGATGCAATAAAATCGCTGGCAAAATTGATAGACGCGGTTAAAAACATCAGCAAGTCAAATTATTGGGATCTATCAGAGAAAATGTGTTTGATAAGAATATCAATACGCTCATCCTGTCGCCTAGTTATCTTTTTTTTATCAATTTCCTTAATTTAGATACTCTATGAATACATGAAAAGTTGCGATAAAATGATATGTATTGTATTTAACTCTGCTTCATAAAATAATTTACCTGTAAAATCTAATTATGCATAAATTAAAAAATTATCAAGCGACACATTCGTACGTGGCATAAACCATTAAAGTTATTTTTAAACAGACGTACAATTGATCGAGTCGAATTTTACAATGTTTTAATTGCTCTTTTAACACAAAATTGTCAGAACCCCGAAATGCGTCGACAACGGCGCGAAGGTCTTTATTAGTTTAGTCGCGGCAGTGAATGATAATAATTAGACAATCCGTGGGCGAACGAGCCTGAAATTAAATCGCGCGTGGCAAGGTCCTTTGCGGGAATTAACAGATGGACGTTAATTCCAGTCGTTAAAAAGTGCCGGAATCTCGCGGAGAAAGTCAGCCGCGCGCATCTCGCCGGAGCTTTTCGTATAATTCACATCCGGGTGAGCAACGGCAATTGCAACGCGCAACCATCACCGTTTCTTTCCCGGTTTTCAACCCGGGAGGAGAAGAGAGATGACGGATAGCGGGCCGTCCCGTTGGGAGTCGGCTTAAGCCGACGCTCCCAGAGTTTGATTGTCTTTGATTAATTACTCATGCTCTTTCTCGGCCGGCGGAAGTCGACGGGTCGCAATCTTGATAATGCATAACTGTATTAAAACGGGCCCGACGTAATCTTTTGATTTTTCAAGGCGTAAAAACCGTTCAAACATAGTCCGATGGCAGGAAGATGGTGAAAAGATCGTTCGATCATCATCCTGTTGTTCAAATAATCCCGCAATTTTTGTTTCCTTAAATATAAATTATCGTTTATCAGTAATTTATATAATGTATTCTGATTGGAATTTTCGATATAAAATTTTATTAAGATTACCACGATTTCATTATCGTTCTTGATTACAATGTGCTTGATATTTGTTGAGAGATGGGATCGTAAAGGATCGTTGAAGTAGTTCCGCGATAAACACTATAATTAACGACACATTGAGATTAAGCGTTATTCGATTACGCGGATTAAGTGTCTATTAAACGACGGCATCGTTAGACGCCCACGTGGGAACAACACCCGCTTATTCGGATAATAATGATGCACAGTCTTTCGCGAATGATTAGAGGATAAACGAGAAGACATATTACGGGCAGGCAAGCGGCGCTCATGCCGACTCAAGGAGCGACAGAGACAGCGCATTATACAGACGTTATCGTAATAAATTATTCTTATCAGAAACCGGGTGCAAACTAGAGGCGTGTTTCGCTGTCCGAGATAAATCCTAGTTGAATGATAAAACGATCAAGTCGCTGTTACGGCGAATGGGAACAGACGTATCGTGTCGCTAGATGTCATGGATAATTCATGGTGTCGTACGAACATTATGGTCCAGTATGTCACATTACTTAGAAACGATAACGTTTTATAGAAATTGTAACAAGTTAATCATATTTACACCAAGAACACGACGATAAAAATATCACAATAATTTCATTAAAGTTACA